TGCTGCAGGAGAGCAAATTAAAAGGTTCTCTGTGAAGTCAAGGTGCTGAGAAAACAACATGAGTTTCCAGTGGAGAAAATTGCATGAACTGTCATTTTTTCTCCCATACAAAATTAATTTAGCATGTGAACAGATCAGGTGTAGAACGTTTCTTGTGGTTTCCATCCTATAAGGCATTTGGATGTGCACTCTGAGTTAGCAGCCTGAAATTGTCACTATTCCATAGCTCTCCATGTCCCTCCCACGGACGTGGGTGTTCTTGGCAGGGTGTGGCTGGTGACTGTCTGCTCTCTCCTTTGCAGTAAGTGATGACCTCATCAAGGACTGTTTAAGCATACTGTACAACACTTGTATATGTGTAAGTACAACTCTGCTCGTCTGTCACTTTTTACATTTGTTGCTTGATAAGACAACAGGCTCTTTTAAGTGTAATTTAAACTTACTCTGCAGCTTTACATTAAAATTCCTTCAGTTAAATAGGACTGCTTTGTATTTTGATGTGTTACTCATATAATTTGTTTTCTTAACCACATTAAGTTCTCTTGTTTGGATGTTTTAGTCTCTGTGTTTCCATAGGAAAGCTGTGCCAGCCTTTGTTCTGTTCCAGCTTAAAATTTGAAGCTGGGAATGGATGCCTGTTAAGCCCAGCTACAGCTGGTCTTGTTCAGAATTGGGGCTGGCAAAGGGTTTTAAATTTGATCCTTCAGCACTGTGTGCTGGATTTTAGTTCMGTTCAGTTGAGGCAGATCAGTGCAAAGGAAGGTGCTGGGTTAAAGACCTGTAGAAATACCTTATCATTAAAATCCTGGTGCTAAAAGCAAAGGCCTCAGATTATACATGCAGGGAGCATCCTCAGGATTGTTTACTTCATCAGACACCTCATTATGCCACAACCTAGGGAACATTAACAAAACTTAAAGAGCCAGTTAGTGGCTTGGAGCTCTTCCAAAAACATCAGTCTAATCTCCAGAGTTTGAGTCTTACTAGATCATGTCTCACCGATAAGGATCTGTGTACACATGGGAGAGGGAAGAGAGGGAATGCTTTTTTTYCTTGGCTTGGATGATTTATTTTTTTAACTGCAGGTAATGCAACCTTTGCAAACTGTGAATAGCAAGATATGCTAAAAAACAAGTTTGCAATGCATAAACTAACTGCTGTTTTGATTTCACTTTGGTATTACTGCTGTCTCTTGGATGAAAAGTGTCCAGGGTCACAGAGATGGTGGGGGGCTGTGGGCAGTATTAACTGTTCTTATACATAGGTGTAAACACTGGGGGATTATCTGAGCTAGTCTGGTTCTGTGAGCCCTGGGAGTATGCCAGTCAGGTATAAAATACAGCTTTGCAAGCAGTGAGGATGTAGTTTGGAGCTCTCTCRGGAGAGCTCAGAGTGTGAAAGGCAGCCTTAAATTTGGGTTTTCATGCCTCAGCCTGACWTTGGGGTTCATCACCCAGTTCATTTAAGCCAGCTTTGTTTGGGGTTGATCAGATAGAGCAATGCTAAGGGTTTAAGAGCTGCTGTGTTTGCATACCATGGCATGGAGCTGGTCACTGTATGGCAAAGCAGAACCAAGCCCCTCTGGTGTGTGCCCAGGCAGGCTCAGGGTTTGCTTTAGATTCAGACAAGAAAAAAGTGTCCTGAGGTGAAGCCTCTCATCCTGCCGTTGTTGCAGGCACCACATTGACTTCAGACAAGGACTGTTTGCCATAAACACAACATTTCCTGGTGTCAGGAGGAGCTGACTCAGTACCACATCATCTGAGGCTGTCCTGCATGTGCTGTGCCATGTGGCTCTCAGGGTGGGCTCTCACTGGCTCTGTCTGTGCTCCTTTCTAGACTGAAGGTGTCACAAGGCGACTGGCAGAGAGAAATGACTTTGTGTTGTTCCTGTTTACACTGATGACAAACAAAAAGACATTCCTGCAAACTGCAACACTCATTGAAGATATCCTGGGAGTGAAAAAGGTTAGTTACTGGTTTCTTAATATTTGTATGGMTTTTCAGGCCAGTAGAGGAAAGAGAGCTGTTTCTTTGAAGAGTTGCTGAGGATAGTCCTCTAAGCTGCCCTTCTTACTTCTTGAAGCTTATTTGAAACCTGATTGTTCACAGTGGTAATTAACTTCAATCACTTCTCATGAAGAAGCCAAACTATTCATGTGGTCTGAGACTCTCAGCTCAGAGAATGATGGGAGCTGTGTCCCCATGATCTGAGTGCTTCACTGTCATGAAAGTACAGCCAATATTTCCAATAAAGAAAATGAACCTCATATAAATTCAGCTTTTATCCCTGCTTGCTGATTGTATTTCACATACTTTACTTGTCTTCCTGACATCTGGGAGGMTTCCTGTGTATTCCTTGGTGTTTGTCACCTCTCTTGGAAGCTGTAGGCTGGGGAAACAGGGCACTTAAATCTTCTGCACCARCCTGGTTATTGAGGTTATTTGCCAGCATCATTGCAGCTCAGTGTCCTGATGTGATGAAAGTAAAATATTAGAGATGTAACCTTGGGAAAACCTTGGATGGAAAATGTCTGTGTAAATTTTGTGGAGAAGGTCAGGAGGCTGTAACTTGATACTCCATTATTTAGAGTAAGTTGATGTACTTCTGAAATAAGAAACAAGTTCAGTTTATCTGAAGAAAAACTGGGGTTTCTTTCTGTTCTTTTTTCAACATCTTTTTATCAAAAAAAACTTTGATGAAAAACTGAGAAATAATTTAGAAGTTGATTCTTACAAGTTTCAAAGAAAGACAGGATTGAAAAACAAAATTGAAACTTTCAATGTCTACACTTAATTAGTGTATTAAATTAGGTTGTGGGTTTTTAGTTAAAAAAGCCCCCTAAACTATATGTAAATATAACCATTTTATATTTAAAACATGGATATCTGTACTTTTGGAATTGCTAAGCCTGACAGCAGTTGTAAATCCCAGCTGCTTTCAGACTCTTTGCTTGCTTCTCCTTTGCTAACACTGGGAGCTTTTGCCTGTGCCCGTGTTCACTACTGACCATCACATGTGACTCAGCTGGTGTTTCCTCCTSCAGGAAATGATCCAGCTGGATGATATTCCCAACCTGGCCAGTCTGGTGTCCAGCTTTGACCAGCAGCAGCTGGCCAACTTCTGCAGGATCCTGGCTGTCACCATCTCGGAGCTCGACACAGGCAGTGATGACAAGCACACACTTCTGGCCAAAAATGCCCAGCAGAAAAAAAACTTGGGCCCTTCCCGAGCTGAAATTAATCAAGGTAATTGTTATGCTGTGAACRAATCAGAATAATCTCAGCAATGTATAAAGTTTTCCTCTCTCAGTGTCACATAGAGTTTTGTGTCTGGAGGATGTTGAAAATGTTGTGTCTTACAAAGCATTCTTCTTTATTCACTCCCCTCGTATTGTTTCCAGCAAATAATCTTTCCTGTTAATGGAACTTTGTAGCTTTTGGTTTCATATGGCTTTGCTGATTAGGTGGGTTAATTTCTGTCATTTCAGCACTCTCTGAATGGCTTAAAATAATTGGATTTGTTTTCTATGCCTCAGCCATATCCATGAACTTCCCATTAGCAATWCTCAGTAATTCTGTCCTCCCTAAAATATGAATTCCTGAACTAAAACTGCATGCAGTGTGGTTGCTGTTGGAGCAGTCACTTCTCTGATTTTGTCAGGTGTTGTCCAGGATTTCTGTCTTTATCAAAAAGAAGTGTGTTTAATATCAATTCTGTTGCCCACTGTTACCAAACCAGCCTTGGAAGTCTGTGGGTCTAATCTCAGCCTTAACCTTGGGCACAGTGAAGGTTTCCTTATTTTGCTGAGTACTTCTCAGGAGCAGAAGTCTTGCCTAGAAGGATATGTAGGAATTGAAAAAGTTAAAAGTACTGTCAAGTGTARAATCTGCTGTTTTCAGCTCTTACTGTGCTGAAAAGCTTTTGGGCTTCTGAAGCACATATTTGCATAGGCCCATGTCAAGCAAATGCTTAGCTAATCATTTTTTGAGGGCACAATCAGAGACTGATTCTAAGGCTGTACAGTGTATTCTATTTTAAAACATTTATCAGGGAGCTCATTCTTTCAGAGATGAAACTCTTTCATGTAACGTTCACAGCCAAATTCTTTGTCCTTTTCTTGTCCACACTTGCAAGTGTGAAGCAAAGCCTTAGCCACGTACCTTAAATAAATGTCATGTAATTAAATTATTCTTAGGGCAAAATGCACCTCCCCAAACATTTTGCAGAGCAGTGACTTCAGTCCTTGTGCTGCTCTTTCTAAGGGTGCAGTCCCACAATTAAAACCCTCACACCTGGGGCTGCTGTGGTGTTTTCTCCATGAGGATCTAATTCAGGGAACTACTGTTTAAAAAGCTGACAGCTTTCATCCCAGATGCTGCAGTGAGCCTGTTTATTTGCCACAGACCAACACCCCAGGAGGGAAAGTGAAGGAGGAAAGGGGAGGTGRAGCTGCCCCTTCCAAGGGCTGCTGCTTTACTTCTGCCAGCTTAATTTTCAGCCAGATGAATTCCTTGATATGGCTGGAACAAAATACTGAATTATTCCTGGGATGCTCTCTTCCATTCATTAATAGGAGAGTGCACTGAATTCTCCCATCTTTGGATCTTTTTAACCAGATATTTTCAGCCATACATTTCTGTATTCCTAAAGTAGATGTTTTGRTACCTTGTGGTGGTCTGAAATTGTAATAAAATTATTTCTCTTTTTTTTCTTTCAGCTACACTTCTGAATATTCCAGGCTTCATCGAGCGATTGTGCAAACTGGCCACMCGGAAGGTGTCTGAAACAACAGGGACTTCCAGCTTCCTGCAGGAGCTGGAGGAGTGGTACACCTGGCTGGACAATGCACTGGTGCTGGATGCACTGATGAGGGTGGCWAATGAAGAGGCAGAGCAGAGCAGTACAGGTACCTGGCTTGCATTCCAGCAGCTGRTGGATGTCTTAACCTTCTTCAGGGTTTTCCACGTGTTGCTTTTCCTTTCAGCTGCTCCTGATCCCCCTTTTTTTGCATGGAATACCCACATATCAGCATTTAGGTCTGACTCTCGTTTTACTCTCATGTAGCACAGATTTTTTTTTAATGAATTAAAGTTAGCAAAAGGAGAAATCCTACAGTAGTCTGTGCTTTTTGCATGCCTAGCTCATAYTGAAATGCTGTATATCCTCAGCACTAACCTTCCCTGGAGTAACAAAAATAAGCCTCCTCCATGAAGTAAGTGGCTTCACCAGYATTTTGCTCTAAGCTTTTTGCTTATGGCTTTAGGTCTGAATGCTTCATACCATGCTTTAGACCATACCAAATAAGTGGGCCATTCTTTATGAAAGTAGTTCCAGCTAAATTAAATAGGTTAGTTKGAAAAAATAATTATTCCAGTGGAAGTTGTAATACAACCTTAGGAAAATGCTTTGAAGCGCATATGTGGTTTTTCTTCACCCTTTGGTATGACAAAAATGCTGTGTATGTCTGGTAGAACTCCAGAATACTCAGTACTCCCATTTCTGCTCCTAGCAGGGTAATTCTCCATAGGATTATGAAATTTATTTAACTGTGGCCTAAGTACACTACTACTGAGGTATGAAATGAAAGTAGATTTGATAGTGCTTCTGATAAACTCCCATCTGCTTTTATTACCTTTTCTTCCATTCCCTGATGCAGTAGTCTATTAAAAAATTCAGATGAGGCTACTTACTTCGGGGACATGCTGCCATTTAGTTKGTTATGGAAAAATAAATCTGATTTTATCTCCGCTTAAATTTTCAGTTATTTTTTTTCCCTGACATGTAATTGAAATTGGTTATTTGCTGCACATCACTATTTTTAGTTAAGAAGAAGATTCCAGCTGTTCCTACATCTGTAGTGTTCAGTGTAAAAGTAACAATTGCAACAAATCTTTCCCTGTTGAAGCTGCCTCAGTCTCACATCTTTGCTGTCTTTTTCAGAATCTTCAGATGAGAGTGGMCTGGCCAACACCTCCACACGGACACAGCTGCCCCAGTCCATGAAGATCATGCACGAGATCATGTACAAGCTGGAGGTGCTCTATGTTCTCTGTGTGCTGCTCATGGGCAGGCAGAGGAATCAGGTGAGCCCCAGTGGATGGTCTCACTAATACTTGKTGTCTCTTTAGGATGCTCTTAAGTGGTGTCTGTTTAAACCTGAGTGCTCATGAATGGGATCATGGACACAGAAACACCAGGCACAGCTCAAGGCACAAAGCTGGCAAATCCTGGCAAACAGGCAGGGGAACCAGGAGGAGCTTAGGGCAGGGCTGGTCACACTGTCCTCACCAGTGTGGGGTCCTGTCCCACAGCTGCTGCTCTTGTGCAGGAGGGATGCAGGAGGATTCCTTCTGTGTGAGGAAGTGTGTGGATGTACCTGGATGCTGCAGTCAGGCATTCTCCCCCCTCCTGGTGTGCTGGTGACCAGTTTGGATGGAGCCCCTTCAGGCATTACCTTTCTTTGTCTGCTTTCACTTTTGGAAACCCTCTGGAAGATTTTTGTAGTGTATTGCTATGACTTGGCTAAGTGTAAGCATAGTGTTAAACTCTCAGCATCAAACTCTCAGCTGGGAGGATGCATTTCAGTGCTGTCTGTGCACTGATCGCTGCCTGGAAATCCCACTCATCTGTTCCTTCTGCCTTTCTTCCTTTTGAAATGAAAAAAAAAAAATCTGCCTCACACAGGCTTGTGGAGAACCAGTCACTGCAGCTTGGCTGTGRTTTGATTTAAATGGGTCAAAAGCAGGTTGTGAAGGGAAAAGCAAAGCAATCCTTGGTGCAGTTTTGACAGATTTCCAGCTTTGGCAGTGTGCTCAGCTCAGCAGAGCAGCTTGGGATAGCAGGGGCATTCAGATGTCCTGGACACTGGCAGGGCCAAATTGGTGGGAGTTGTTTTAGGGCTGTTGCATTAGGCAGGAGAGGCTGTATTGTGGGGCAGAAGCTTGAGCACATTTATCTTGAGTATTTTGTTCTTTTCCAGTAACCTCCCAGTGTATCAGTGTCACAAACACTCCTCAGGGTTGTCTCCCAAATCTCTTAATCTGAATGGAGCTGTAGTTGTAGTTCAGTCCCAAACATACAGACCTTCACTCTGAGCCTGCTGCAGAGCTTGTGGACTCCCCATCCCTGGAAGTGTTGAAAGCTGRGACTGGGAGCAGCCTGGTCTGGTGGAAGGTGTTCCTGCCCATGATAGGGGGATAGAATGAGATGGGCTTTAAAGTCCCTTCCAACCCAAACGATTCTGGGATTCTGGGATTCTAAATGGACATTTGGCATTAAAAAGAAGCAGACTGTGCATAAGAGTAAGCAGAGGGAACCAGCAATTCTTGCAGAGACCACAGTCACTACCATAAACAACTCCTAATCATGTTGTCATTCCTTTTAGAAGTGTTGTTTCTGTTGGGCATAAAATAAAATATAAACAAAGCCTAAGACAAAACTGAAACTRCCAGACCGTGGATCTATTAGGAGGACTTTTTTCCCCCCGTTTTGTTAAGGCAGATAATTCATCCCTCCTTGAGTTCCCCACGAGAATGCAGTTTTATAGATACTGCAGAAACTGCTTGCAGCCTGCACTCATCTGCTGCTGCTGGTTCAGGGAGCTGGAGGTGCTGGATTCTTTACTTGCATGGGTCACTTCTGGTGTGCCCCTGTCAAATGTGACAAGGTAAAAAATGTGCTGCTGAAACAGATTGAATTTGCTTTTTGATTTCCTGGGAAAACAGCTCTATCCTTCATCTACTGTTTCTGCCCCTGTACAGAAGGGGAAACTAAGGATAAAGTTGGCATCAATTCACTATTTTTCAGGACTGATTCAGGACTGGAATTGAATTCTTGAAAGATTTGAGTTACTTCATTTCCAAACACTTCTTGTGCAGAGCCAGTTCTTTTTTTTTTTTTTTTCYTTCTTTGTGAAATCCTCTGCCTTTGAAACAGATGATGCATCCTTCATTCCTTAATCTGCATAAGACTTGTGTAGCAGATGTGGATCCAKTCCCCTTCCTGAGAGCCAGGCAGAGGAAGGACTGGAGCTGAGCTGTTCTCAATGGGAAGCTCTGGAATGCAGGCTGAGCAGTGTCTGCAATAACACACTCAGAAAAGCATTTCAGCTGCTTCCTTTTCTGTGAAGGAATGAAAGCACAGGATCTGTGCWACCACTCTGAGCAGCCAAAGGACTTGCTGGTTTTAGACTGGATTAATTTTGCATAGAATTTCTAAAGGGCATCACAAACCTGCTTCAGTCCACTGTAATAATCAACATAATAGTCTGGCATTTGCTTGAAGCAAGGTGCAGCCTCTCAAACTCAACTTGTCCCTGAATGTTCGCTCTGAATCCTTGGTTTAAACTTGATTGCTGACTGATTTGCATGAATKGATCACTGTGGTAGCAGTGACTTTGCTTCTCCTGCTGCCACATTGGGGATGATCTCACCCTTGGGGATAAGTGGTGTTTCTCTGCAGATTTGGGCCTTTGCTGTCTTCTCATTATGGTCACACCCTAAATTATACTCCTTATGTGTATTTCTAGGCTGTCCTGCATGGCTGTGTTGTGGTGAAAAGCCACCAGCTCATTTCCTTGCTCCTGCTGTAGGGAGCCACACTGCACACAGCAGACTTAGTTTAGCAGAGAAAYTTTTAGTGTAGAGAAAGCACTGGAGCAATTCCTGTGAAGCTGGATGGCAGCAGGAAAAAGCCTAAGTAATTTGAAGGATGAATATAGAGCAGGGATTGTCTTGGCATTCTGAGGCTGAGTAATTGTAATGAGTTTGGGCTCTGGGAGAGAGAGTGATGCAAAGGCACTGATGTGACTGAGGAGCTCTGTCAGGTGAGAACATCAGAGCTGAGAAAACTAAAAGTAAACTGAACACTGTTGAAATTTGAGTCATTTGGAAAGGAGCAGATTCAGGAATTAAAATTCACTCTGTGAGTGTAGAGAGCTCTTCCTCTAGTGAGGGCTGAGGCTCTTGCAGGCAGCTCACACGCTTGGCTTCCTCCTGTTGTGCCTGTGCCATGCAGGGACAGGGGCACTACAGGGAGCACTTTGTTCAGAGGGATTCCTCAGAGCTTGTGACTAAAYCAAAGTGTCCAAGAGCATTTTAAAATAATGGAGCACCAGARAACTCCAAGCTCAGCAATCTGTCARGGCAGTRTGGGTGARGTGGRAARGAGCWRGATGCTTYCTCAGGTGTGTRTTTGTGTGCCCAGCAACAGGARTGTGATTTCCATMAAGATGGGACAGCTGGGGGCTACAGCCAAAAAAGAGTGCAAAAAACCATAACTATGCTGCAAACAAGAATTAAGAATTAAAACCTGTAAAAGAGCATCTGCTTCAGATATTTTTGATTCATTCAGATATTTGCATAAGTGGACTGATCTGCTTGAAATACTGCTGGTCACTGTTCTGCACCTTGGGACAACCTGGGGTGTTTTTAAGTTGTTTTGTTTATTGATTTTAAGAATCTAGCCATTAGTCCTTTGGGTGCTTAGTTCTTGCAGCATGTTGTACATTCCAGTCATGTGGTTTTCATTTGCAACCACATCTTAAGGAGTACTGCTTGTCCTCGGCCTGTACCTGATAGRAGTCCCACTTTGTATTTCCCCTATTCCTCATCTTCTAAATTCCTTACATCAAAAGTATCCCAGTTTGGACTGAAGGTATTTAACAGCTGTTCACACCAAAATGAATAACAAATATGTACCAGACAGACTGATAAATAAGCATGAGTAATTTGGCTTTTTTTTCTCTTCTGAGCATTCTCCAGAGAAGTTTAACTGCCCTTTAACYTGAAGAAATGGTCCAGTTTGCTTGTGTTACTGCTGGATTTTGCTTTGCTCACAGCTCCTGCCCAAGTCACCTGAACAAATCCAATATTGATGGGTTTTATTGTCATCAGAGACCTCCCTGGGCTCCATCTGTGTGTCTGGAAAGGGGAAGGACATTCAGGGGATGAGTGATAGCAGAATATCCCCAGCTCAGCTGTTTGGTATAGGTGCATTTTCAATGTGCTGGAAGTGTTGTCCTGATGTTCAGAGCTGCTTCCAGAGGCACAGTGGTTAATGGAAGCAGTGGGGAAGAGCTTTATCCCAAAAGGTGTGTTTTCTGTCTATRTCCACCAAATGGAAACTGCTGCACTGTGGTTAGTGTGTTAACACAAAACTTGCTGTTTGAGACAAGAATTCACATCCTTTTATCAGAGAATGACATCCTTGTGCCCATCAGTTTCCAGGCTACATTAAATCCTTGTYTGAGGCTGCAGCAAACATGATTGTACCTCTTTTGTTTCCCAGGTTCATAAAATGATAGCCGAGTTCAGACTCATTCCTGGCCTCAATAACCTGTTTGACAAACTCATCTGGAGGAAGCACTCRGCCTCAGCCCTGGTTCTGCATGGACACAACCAGAACTGTGATTGCAGCCCGGTGAGGAACTTTGGGAATCCTGTAGTGGATTTTCATCCTGTCACAGTTCTGAAGAGTTGTGCTGAGTAACTTGGTGTTTGTGTAATCAGGAACTTGAGATGTGGTAGCATTCAGGTTTTGGGGGATTATTGCTTTCACTGAAGTCTTGATCTTTGGCTCATGCTAGCAGTATAGTATGGACAATTTAGCCTCTCCCTCTCTTCTAGTTTGGGAACTGGAAAAGGCATAAATATATGGACCCTGAAGGCCAGAGGTAGAAGACCAAAACTAAAAGAATTGATATCTAGGAGAGGCACAGAATACAAATTGTGCCGCAGTCAGGTTTAGGGAGGTTAGGTTTTGTGTTGAACTATGTTTTTTCTTCCAAACCTAGATATTCTGAAATGATCAGTACAATTACAAGCTTTATTGCCATTGCAGTGAGAAGAAATCATTACCTGTTATGTGCATAGGCTTGGAGGCAATCTCCACCTCTRTTTTGGGAAGGCTGCAAAGTGCAGCCTTCTCCATTTATGCAAGTCACTTGCTCTGCTGTCCAGGGGGGTTGGATTTGAAGAGATTTTCCATTCAGCTGTTTCGTGTCAGCTTGGTAACGAATTATAGCCAAAAATACTAAAGCAAGGCGCTTTTTTCCCCTTTCTTGTCTCCTTTTAGGACATCACTTTAAAGATACAATTCTTGAGGCTTCTTCAGAGCTTCAGTGATCACCATGAGTGAGTATGAGAAGCTGTGGTGGGTTGGGCTTTGGTGCTGTTTGCCTGGTTGTGTTTCCAGGTGTCCTGAGCATGGGACAAGCTCTATGTGAAGGGAATGTTTTACTGTCCCTAAATTTCATGTGCCTTTCAGCTCTTGCTGAAACAACCTAACATTTGCTCTGCAGTRGGCATGTCTGAATATGTCTGGTGGAGGTTAAACCCAGCCCATTTTGCCTCATGTTGAAATGAGCTCAGACATGTACAGGATGAGTTAACGCTTTCTGGCTGAAGGAATGAGGAGGCAGCTTTCCTTTTTTTTCTGCCTTCTCCCTGAGATCTGGCACTGAGCCAGGGAAGTAGGAAGAGATCTGTCTGCCTTCAGAAGGCATCCTTAGGAAAACTTGAGTCTGCTGGAGTAGTTTGAGGTGTGATGCAGTTTGGGGGTTTCCTAGATGCTGTGCTGCTGTTGTTGGTTCTGCCTTGTGGAATTGCATCCTGCATTCCATCAGTGYCCTGTTGCTCTAATTCCATTGTGGRAGGTGGTGTCCACTTCCTGACAAACTCCTCTGAGCCATTTCAGGTGCTGGTCATTCCTAGAGCCAGGCTGATGTTTTTAGTCCTGTTGGATAGATTGCAAATATCAGCCTTTTTGATTGTGGAATATTAGCTTTGAGGAGCTGATGGATGTAGACAAGGAGGCAATGCTGACCTACTGTAAATCCTTCATGCAAGAGGTTGTTTGCCTGGGAATCACTCCAGGTTTTCCAATAAAATCTCTTCAGATGATGTTATTACTTAAGTGGCTGCTACAAAGATCTCAGGCTTGTTTGAACAGACAACAGCTCCCAGCYGTAACATTTGAGGGTGTGGAATGTGTGGAATCTGGTTGGGGGTTTAAATAATTACATGAACTTTCTATGAAATCACTGATAAGCTGAGTTAACTGAGGACAAGATGAGAGCAAAGTACTTGTATACTGATACTAATTCAGTGAGATTGTGTCCAAACCAAACTCACAGAATTGTTGATTGCAGGGAGAGAAAGGCTGTGTTCTCATTGCAGAATCCTGTTTAATCTACATCAAAGGAAACTGCATGAGAGCCTCAGTGGACACTGATGTGGATGACAGTGTTGGAAGCAAGAAGGAACCTCACACTGATCACTGCATCCTCTGCTCCCTGAGCTTTTCTGAAAAGAAATCTTTGCTGTCTGATTTTGAACACCTAGAAGCAGGAAGAGTCTCAGGGAGCATGCTGGCATTGGACAGGCAGGCTGGCAAAGGGAGCCCCCAGGCTGAGTTTCTCCTCTATCAGACTTGTTCTGCATTTAGTTTATTTTACAAAGTAATTTATTTTCCTTAGGAAAAGTTCAGTATTTGGTAAAGAATTTAATGCACTTTCGTGGCATTTATAGGCATCATTTAGTTTTAAAGTATTTCCAGAGTCATTTGCTCAGAGTAATAAAATGCCRGGATAATTGAGTCCTTTTTTGCAGTTTCTGCTTTGTAACTGAGATTTTTTTTTTTATTTAAAAAGATCCCAGTCCTGCAGCCCTTGTAGGCCTGTGGCTCTGCTTTTCATGGAATTGCATGTTTGTCTCTTGAATTCATCCTGGTTTTCTCCCCTACYCCCCCACTGTGTTGCTTTAGGAACAAGTATCTCCTTTTGAACAGCCAGGAATTGAATGAGCTGAGTGCAATCTCCCATAAAGCCAACATCCCTGAAGTGGATGCAGTTGTCAACACTGACAGGTGAGGGGGGATTCAGGGTGCAGGCTGGCAATATAAAAATTTTGGAAACACTCTAGACTGGAAGTTTGACATTGCCTGTTTTGCTTGAGCTCACTCTCTCCACCACACTTTATCTTAGTGACACRTTTCAGTGGGAGGTTTGTGGGATACTGATGGTCATTAGCAAATCTAAAATGTGCCCAYGCTCAGAGTAAGGGGCTTAAAAAACAAAAGCAACTTAAAAAAAAAAATGGGGAGATGAGTTCATGGCTCAGACTTCATTATGRTGTGCTGGATCTGCTTGTCTGGCCTTCCTCATGTGAGGCATTGCAGACAGACCTGGAAAGTGAACTCTGATCCCTCTAATCATTAATGGCTCCYGCTAATAAATCTCAGTTTTGGCATTCAGGAGCAGTCTGTGCACACATAATGTCCATTCCAGGCTGCATGARTACATCCAAGTGTCTGCTCAGAGTATTTTAAGAGCAGCTAATAACCAGAATAAGCTAAATTAGATTAACATGTTAAGCCACTTACAGAATCTCTAGTGTTACATTTGAGTATCTGTTAGATGCACTATTTTGATCTAATAAGCTCTTTAATRTGTGGTTCTGGTGTATAAACCTCAGCAGATGGAATATTGTTTGCAGAATTGAGTGTGTCAGAATGCTCCCAGGGTATCAGCAGGGACTTGGTCTGCACAGAGCAGATTTACCTCACTCCAAAAGGGAATTCTCTAAGAGGATTTCTAGATTATAATTATTATCATAATACTCTKTCTAATTGGGAACAACTTAGGGATTTTTTTCACCCTTAGCATTTAGTTTTCATGTTGCTTTTCTTGATACGTGAGATCAAGGCATTACTTCTGCATTAATTTAATRCAGGTAGATACTCCACTGAAGTTTAATACAAGTAGTATTACTTGTATTAGTAAATACTTTAGTTTGTACAACCTCTGTGCTTTTACTACAACCTCAAGTAGCATCCAGCTTTCCATTCTCTGCTCTGCCTCCTAAATGGAATTTAGACTTTCCTTTACATTTGTTGAGAAGAAAAAGGAAGTTTTTTTTCATTCCTAATCTCGTATGTTTTTTTTTTCCTTGTCTCTTAATTCCCTCAAAGTGTGAATTGGTATTTCTGAAATCATTAGAATTACAAGAGAAGAAGAGTAATTTTTTTTAGGACTCTTTTGGAAGTATGTTGCAGGTATTGCAGATACTTATCAAGGGCAGTCAGGAGAACTCTTCTGCTGATAGAACTAGCACAGTATTTGTATTGCATATTCAAATATTGAGATTTTGWTCATCAAAAGCTCTGAAGCAGAGACTGTATTCAGTGTTCAGTGCCTGCCCAACCCTTCCACTCACACTGTTATTTCTCCACCTGCTGCAGGAGTCTTGTCTGTGATGGCAAGAGAGGTTTGCTGACCAGATTGCTTCAGGTCATGAAGAAGGAGCCAGCAGAATCCTCCTTCAGGTGGGTTCACTTTGCCTCTGATGTGCTGTTTGAGATCCCTGGGATGTAGCTTTGGTTTTATCCAGCTTAGAGCAGCTGAGAGGGTTTGAGAATCAAATGGAAAGGTCTGGTGGCTTTGTTGTGCTGTGGTGGCAGTGCAGGTGAGAAGAAATCACAGCCAGTGATTTTCTGCAGGATTAATAGGTCTGACTCCAACTTCAGACTGGAATGAAACAGATTAGGAAACTGGATTTAAATTAGAGTTGTGATTAAGTACTTTCCTTGCTCCAAAACTAAAATCACCTTTCTTCTGTTGCTCAGGTTTTGGCAAGCAAGGGCAGTTGAAAGTTTTCTGCGAGGCACCACCTCYTATGCAGACCAGATGTTCCTGCTCAAGAGAGGGCTCCTGGAGGTAAATAAGTTTATGGCAGGCATCCTCCATAGCAATCAAGAAGGATTTGTCTGTAATGGGTCCAAAAGTGGGTAAAAATGTAGTGTTAAATGCTATGCTGGGTTTAAAACTCAGTAGGGAAATCAAGGCTGCTCAAGCTGCCCCCTTTTGATACTGGGGGAATAAATACCAAGGAAGGTAARTCAGCATCAAAATTTACTGGAGAAATCACAATAGAGGCAACAGTAATAAATGAAAAATTGCCCTCATTCCTGTGTTAATATGACAAATAATGGGAATACTTTAAAAAAATATCTGTGAATTCTACTTGTGGCAGCCAGATGTGGCCAGTTGTATAACCTGCACCACTGGGGAGTTAACAGGAGACTTGTCTGAACTGTTGTCTTTACTTCTTTGTTGTGACACCCAAGAACCTGCAGAWAAATGCTTTAAATACTGGTTAAATCAGGGTCTGTGTAGTGCTGCTGGCTTGGACTAAGCTRTGGCAATAACATGTTTTCCTTCCCTTCCAGCATATTCTCTACTGCATTGTTGATAGTGAGTGCAAGTCACGAGATGTGCTTCAGAGTTACTTTGACCTTCTGGGAGAGCTGATGAAATTCAATATTGATGCATTCAAGAGGTTCAACAAGTACATCAACACAGATGAGAAGGTAAATATTTGTGAAAGCTGCCSCCTGTGGCTCAAAATACACCCTTTTATAACCAGATGGAGCACTGAAACTCAGATTCATTTGGTTTTGGTGTGGTTTTAGAGCTTGGGGCACAATAAACRTTAAGGGGTGAGCTGCAAAGTTCCTCAGTGTTTTCAACCATGCTTCAGCTGTCCTGAGTCTGTAAGTTCTGAGCTGGTCAGCAAACACTGCCCTGCTATGTCATCAGGCAGGTCTAAGATCAGGCTCAAGGGTGGCAGAACATTTCCTGTGAAGTCACCAGGTTTTGGATTAAGTGGTAGTTGTGGACATCGAGACAGCTCCAGAAAGTCTTTTACTGGATCTTGCMGTGGAAAGTGCTTCATGAATATGGCTTAAAATCCTTAATACTGCAAACAGGCATTTGTATTTGATGTTATTTGAACTTAGAAATACTTTAGAATGTTGTGGCCTGTGTAATTACTTGTAAAATTGAGTTGCATATTAGATCAGGAATAGGCAGCAAAGGGATTTCATGCTCTTGTGCACTTTGTACATMTAACATCAGCTGGTGGGTAGGTTTTGAATGGCCTCATGCTCTCACTTTSGTTACTGTAATGTTTCTCTCATTGCTCTGATATCTGGTAGGCCTTGGAGAAGGGATGTATAATGTATTTAGAAGAAAATTGTATTTAATTTTGGTTGTTTTTCTCCAGTAAATGAACTCACACATTCTAGAGAATGTCTTYATACTTCGTATGTGCTTCCTATTTAGTGATCTGTGACTAGGTTTAGTTCTCATTCTGACTCCCTCACTGTGTTCCTCCCTAGCACTGTCTGCTTGTACAAAATCAGTGTAGGAAAATATGGAGGGGCAGGAATTCTCCCTYTTTCAAAACAAATTTTGGCTTAGGCTGGATGAGACAGGGCTGGGAGTGATGTCTCCTCATATTCTTRTTAGCAATAACAAAAAAGTAATGACCCTGAGTATTAATATATTTAATTTTTTTAAACTCAGTACTAACAAGTGTTTCTGTTCAGTTCCAGATATTTTTAAATCAGATCAATAGCTCTTTGGTGGACTCMAACATGCTCGTTCGCTGCATTACGCTGTCCCTGGACCGGTTTGAGAATCAGTCTGATGCTAAAGGTGAATGGGAAGAAATGGGGTGGGACTGGACAGTGTTTGGTGGTGATAAGGGTTAATTTAAATCTGTGCTTTGACAGTTTGGAGGTTAGACAAGGAAATGCCACCCTGAAAGTTCAAGCACCAGATGTGAGTGCCCTGGTGCTTGGATCAGTGTGTCTGAGCCCTCAGCACSTGGTGATGGTGTTTCTCCTCTTGCTGCAGTTGCAGAGGTCCTGTCCGAGTGCCGCCTCTTGTCCTACATGTCCCAGATGTCCATGAGAATGTCCTTCCTTTTCCGTCTCATTAATATTATCCATGTACAGACACTCACACAGGTAAAGAGCTGACAGTSACTTTGCAGTTGCCTTCCTGGGCCTGGAATGGGGAGCAGGGCTGGGAGCAGGGGGGAGCCTGGTTTCCCTTTTGTGTGCAGAACACCTGGACTGTGTGCTTTCCATAAGTTTATTTTATAAGGACATGCACACAACCAGTATCTTGATACTTATATTCTTTGCTGTGTAACTTTTACTTCCAGGAAAATGTCAGTTGTTTGAACACAAGTTTAGTTATCCTCATGCTGGCCCGGAGGAAAGAAAAGCTCCCTTTTTATCTGCGCACCTTGCAACAGATGGAATACACGGAAAAATACCCTGGCTTCATCCTGAACAACTTCCACAGTCTCCTGCGATTCTGGCAGCAGCATTACCTCAACAAGGATAAAGACAGCACCTGCTTAGAAAATGTATGTGACCCTCTTCCGGTGGCAGGAGTCAATCACAGCAGCACCTGTCTGCCAGTCCCCCAAAAAAGGCGGGGTGGGTGGTTGGGAAGGGAAAGAAGGGAGGARGTTCTGCTCCCAGTGTAACTCCTGTAGTGCTTTTCACACCTCAGAGTCAGCCTAGCACAAGGCAGGYTTTTGGTTTCCCTGCACACAGAGCCCGAGGTCTTGGCTCTGGCACACAGAAGTGGGCCCTGCTAGTTCTGAGTGGGATGGAGAGGCAGGGCTGGCAGGATGGCCAGGGAGGGGAAGGCAGGACAGAATCCTTTGCTGAATTTTGGAGTTGCAGTGTGTTTGCACATCACCACGTGTCTTGGGCCACTGTGGGTAGAAATAGCCAGTCATCCAGTTATGTGGGTGATGTGTCATCTGGTGATGGGCTGCTGTAGTGACCTTTTGTCTCTCAGGGAATAACACAGGGGGGATGTGAGCAGGGAGGGTTGTTACCCCTGTGTCACCTCAGGAGTGGGAGCTTCCTCCAGCATTGGCTTATCTGCAGCACCACAGGGACCAGCRTGTTTGGAGTGGGCAGCAAAGGAGAAGTTTGGGATTGCTGGGTGTACTGGCCCAGGCAGGCATGTTGGGGTCACCCCGTGCTGCTTTTAGCAGGGCTGCAGCTGCCACAGGTGCTGAGAATCCCTATGTGGAACTGCATATTGGGAGACTGCTTGTAGGGTGGAGCCGTTCAGCACCCAGCCCTTGTGCTGCAGGCCTGGGGAGGGAGAGCGGAGTGGGGAATCCAAAGTGGGGGTCACAGCGTGGGGCTGGGCAGCTCGGGCTGAACAAGAAGTGATTTTCAGCTCTGGGAGGTGTTCCCTCTCGAGCTGGTGCCCTGTCCCCCACTGACCACCCTGTTCTCTGTGCCCACAGAGCTCCTGTATTAGTTTTACCTACTGGAAAGAGACTGTTTCGATACTGCTCAGTCCGGACCGGACGTCCCCCTGTGCCATAGTCAGCTACATCGACGAGGCGTACATGGACATTGACAGAGACTTTTCCGAGGAGTGATTCCCACCCCCGGCTTCTGACGGGCAGCTCGGAGAGTCCCTCCAGCCCGGGGATTTTCAGGGATACGCTGTGTAGTGTGTGCGTGCAGCTCGGAGCCACGGAGCATCGTCCCACCCCAGCCCCTCCCGGCCCTCAGCTCTGACCTCCGACACTCGGACAGCTCTCTGGGCAACGCATTCAGGGATGTATCTTCCAGTTGTTCTGGGATAAAAATAATCACCTGCAAAAACCAGCCTGTACTGTTTTTTTCCTCTCTGCCAGTCTGTCAGGGCTGGGCAGCAGGGGTTTTGCTGACATGAGTGTTCTCTGTATGTGCCAGTTGAGGTGTGGCTCTCTCAAGGCTGCCAGGATGAGCAAATCAAAAAGCACAGCAATTGCCCTCCAAGTGTGAGGTCCAAGGAGCCAATCTGAGCAGGAGCCTCCCACCAGCCACGTGCAAAGCCACCACGAGGACTCGGTGCAGGTGTAACTCTTCCACTGGGCTTTGGAATTGGGGGGTTGGGGTTGGTTAGAGCATGGGTGTGTGTGGGTGTGTGTGCTTTTAATTCCTGAGAGTCCCAGCTCCAGTCACCTCTTTACCATCTCCTTTTGGACCGTTTGGTACTAAATCTACCTGTGCATTAGGAGAGAACCTCTGCTCCTKCTGTCCTTCCTGCAGATCCTTCCCATCTGGAGGCGTTTCGCAGTGCTGGAGAACAGAGACATTTCAGCAGTGGTGGAATTGCAACAGGGGTTGGCTTTTTCACGGAGCGCTAGCATTAAAATGTTCTAATTTTCTAAACTTGCGGCTTGTCCCTTCTTGGGTAATTAATCTGGTTTTAAAATCCTTTTCAGGACCATTGCTCTTGATGTTAACCTGCTATGCCTGGAAGTCTTATGTCAGTCTCTGCTTTCAGTTCTTAATATCAACACACACATTAATCTTGCAGTGCAGTATTTACTGGAGATGTCCATTTTTTCCTGGATCTGTTTTAATCAGACTGTGTTAAATGGTAGGAATAAACACTCCTGGTTGAAAATAACTTTGTAGGATATGTTGGGAAAGGGGGAATGGGCTTTTGGCAGTCCTGATTGCCAAACCTGCCCTGCCTGCTCACCGACACCATGTTGCTCGAACACATTCAGATACCCAGGAATGAGATATGTTACACTTAAGCCACTACATTTAAGTCAAAAACATGTCTTGCAGCAACAGCTAAAACAAAGTTTTGAAACAGACCTCTGAAYTTTTTTAACCTTTTCTAATTTATTTGATGAGATGACTACAGCTCTGTCCAGGCACCCAGGGGGTGAGGACTTCCCAGAGCTGCAGCTTTTTGTCTCGYAGTTGGCAGCAGCATGAACCCCACCCTGAGGCTCCATCCCCAGGGACAGGACTTGTCTCTGAACATCTCCCTTCTCCTCTCTCTTCTCCCATACCTCRGTGTCCCACTGTGGGCTCACAGGGTGGTCAGAGCTGCTGAGCTTGTGCATAAAACTGGAGCCTCGCAGGAGCTCCTGGTGTCCCTCTGGTGAGGGGACCCCGGGGAGCTCCTCACTGCAGCAGCTTCACCTCTGTTCTCACCAGGTCACCCCGACCCTGCCCCTCCCTCCTCTCAGCTCATTTCTTTCTCATCTGTACTTTTTTTTGTTCTTGGGTATTTGTGGTTTTGGTGTATCTTTGCTTCTTAACTGTAATAGATGTACACTTGAAATAAATGCTTCAAATTAAAAGGCTTTTAAGTTAAGGGATGCCTTTTCCATAGTGTAGTTAATTGGTGCATCCACTGATTGCTGCTGTATYCTTGCACATTCTCACTCCCCTCTCTGTGTTTTAAAGACAGTTTGGGGTCCTTCTGCCTCTGTCCTTGCCTGTGGGTCTGGGGGAAGCTGAGCTGAGCCCACACCATCCCTGGGGCACCTCCCAGGCCTGGGAGCACAGGTTGGGCTTTGCTTTTGGGCTGATTTGGCAGAGAAAGGCACAGGGAAGAAAACCCTGGCAGCTTCTGTGGGGTGGAGTGTGCTGGGCTCCAGGGAAAAGGCTGTGCCCAGCGTACACAGGAAATCCTAAGTGGGACAACATTCCTTTGAGATGTCTGTCCATGCTTTGGGATGTCTGTCCATGCCAGATGCCTCAGGAGCTCAGGCTGAGAGGGGCCAGCCCGTGGAGGTGGCAGCAGGCGCTGGCATGGGAGGGAGGTGGGATCCCTGGCACTAACAAATACCTCGGGAAGAACGCACTGTCCCCGTGGGGTCTGAGGTTTGTGCTGCCCTGATTAATGCCAATTTGCTAACTRCAAATAAACATATTAAATGAAAACTATTAAAGAAATCTATTTTAAAGAAATGAGTGGAGATGTGTTTCTTTGCAGTGCCTGTGCCAAAGCTGTAACACCCTGCAGGGCTGTACTGGGGGGCTTCATGTCCTCAGGGTAAAGTCTGTTCTGCCTCACACCTCAGCTCTGGTCCCGTGCTGCTGAGAGATGTGTTTTGGTGGGGAGGGATGAGGAAACGGCTCTTTTCCCAAAGCCCAGCCCAAGCCAGAGCCACAGAGCTGGGAGAGGCAGGACAGGGCTGTGCTCCTGCCCCTGCCCTGYGAAGGATATTCCCAAAGAGCCCAGGAGCAGAGGCCACGGCCCTGGTTACCCCATGACASACACAACAGAGCCAGTCCTGCCACATCTACATTTATTCACACGGTGCAAAGCTGACGGTGACTGTTGCAGCCACTCTCCTCCAACCTACAGCAGCAGCTGGGACAGGGCAGGGCAGGCAGCCGGGCTCCTAATGCTGGAAAAAAATCCCAAAAGTGCTTTGGTGAGAGCTGGATCTGGAGGCAGGGAGGGCTCAGGCACCCTTCAGCTCGCAGCAGCAGTGGGAGCTGAGGTGGCAGTGCCACRGCAGATGTGGCTGTGGCTGTGTGGGCACTCCCTGGCCCCAGGGCAGGCAGGAGCCCCTGCCCAGCTCCCCCTGCTCCCAGGCAGCYGTGCCCACCTTGGAGATGGTGACGTCCCTGGTGCGGGCGCGCAGTTTGTTGACCTGGGTCTCGGCAATGTCGGCGCGTTCCTCAGCATCGTCCAGCTCGTGCTGCACCTTGCGGTACTTCACCAGGTTGGAGTTGGCCTGCTGCTCCTGGGCACGGACAAGAGAGGGCTGGGTGCTTGGGGCACGGGGCTCAGCAGGCTCTGAGCCCCCCCCCCCATCCCTCTCATGGCCCTTTGCAGCCATGCCAGGCAGTCCCAGGGAGGGACAGCCCTGTCCCCTGTCCCAGAGCAGTGACAGGCACTTACTGCCTCCTCAAACTGGCGCTTGTAGCTCTTGACCTTGCTCTGCAGTTTGTCAATCAGCTCCTGCATCCGAGCCAGGTTCTTCCGGTCTTCCTCAGCCTGCAAGTGCCCCGTCTCCCTTAGCCAGACCCCAGCAGCCCCGTCCCCTCAGGGTCCACCTGTCCCCCACCTTTATTGGAGTCCCAGTAGTGCCTGGTCACAAACACAGTCCCAGTCTGCCCCACCACCCCAATGTGACAATGGTGTCACAGCATCCATCCCTGGTTCCCCCCTTGTGTCCATCCCACCACTCAGCTCAAGAGGTGCTGGAAATGAGCAGAAGGACCCAGAGCAGAGCGTGGATATTTTGACAGGGAGAAGCTTGAGCAGCTGTTGCCATTCACCACCGAGTGCCCAGAACATGCCCAGGGTCAGGGTTACTGTTGGGTGCCACGAGAGGCCGAGCAGACAGAGGTGTGCCAGGTGCAGCTGGAGCGGGGCTGGAGCTGTGTCTGTACCTGGTAGCTCAGCTCCTTGATCCTGCGCTCGTACTTGCGGATGCCCTTCTGGGCCTCAGCCATCTTCTTCTGCTCCGCATCCAGCTCTGCCTCCAGCTCCCGCACCTGCAGGGCACAGCCAGCCTCAGTACCCGGCTCCAGGCACCAGTGCCAGCCCAGCTCAGGACAAGCCACTTTCCCAGTTCAAAGAAGCCAGAGCAGAGGCTAAAACCACCTCAGCTGGGCCCAGGCTGGCAGGTCCTCTGCTCTCTCCGAGGCATCACCTGGCCCCAGAGGGATGGAGCAGCCCCAGGAGTGAGCTCCTACAGGACACAGCCGGGGATCTGCCCCTGCCTTCTCACCCTGGCTTCCAGCTTCTGGATCTGCTTCTTGCCGCCCTTGAGAGCGATCTGCTCCGCCTCGTCCAGGCGCATCTGCAGGTCCTTGATGGTCTGCTCCATGTTCTTCTTCATCCGCTCCAGGTGCGCGCTCGTGTCCTGCTCCTTCTTCAGCTCCTCTGCCATCATGGCTGCCTGTGAGGCCAAGAGCAGGGGTACATCAGAGCAAGGCCCGGCCAGACCAGGGCCTCAGTGGAGAAGTGAGACCCTCCCTTCTCCTCCTGCCCCTCTCAACACACACAGCACAGTCCCCACCACTCCCTTACATCCGTGATGGCCTTCTTGGCCTTCTCCTCGGCGTTGCGACACTCCTGCACCGCATCCTCCACCTCGCTGCTCAGCTGGGAGATGTCTGCCTCCAGCTTCTTCTTCTGGTTGATCAGGCCCGTGTTCTGCACACACAGCAGGCTCAGTGTGACCGGGGCTGGTCATTCACCAGTGGCCCCTCTGCTGGCCAGGCTCCYGGCTCTCCTGGAGCCGCAGGACGTGGCAGTCCTCACCTGGGAGTGGAGCAGGGTGACCCTCTCGGTGGTCTCCAGCAGCTCCTGCTCYGCCAGCTTCCTGCTCCTCTCCGCCTGCTCCAGCGCYGCCCGCAGCTCCTCCACCTCTGCCAGCAGCAGGTTGTTGCGGCGCTCCAGGGCCCCCGCCTGCTCCTTCAGGTCATCGTTGTGGCGCTGGGTGTCGTCCAGCTCGATCTGCAGGTCCTGAGGGGCAGCGTGGGGTCAGTGGGACAGCGGGGAGCCGGGCTGGCAGCGGGGATGGCACCGAGGCTGTCCCAACCTTGATCTGGGCCTGGAGCTGGCGGCCCAGCTGCTGGAACTCGGCGGCCTGGCGGTTGGCGTGGTTCAGCTGGATCTCCATCTCGTTCAGGTCCCCCTCCATCTTCTTCCTCAGCCGCACGGCCTCGTTCTTGGCGCGGGCCTCGGCGTCCAGTGAGGCCTGCATGGAGTCCATGGCGCGCTGGTGGTTGCGCCTGTGGGACAGGCTGTGTGTCAGCCACGGCCCCTGGGGACACCCAGCCCAGGGTGACCCTGCCAGGTACCAGCTCTGCCCCCGTACCGCATCCCAGCCCATCCCCTCACCCCACACACCTCAGGTTCTCAAACTCCTCGTCCTTCTCCGCCAGCTTCCTATCCATCTCAGCCTTGATCTGGTTCAGCTCCAGCTGGATGCGCAGGGTCTTGCTCTCCTCGTGCTCCAGGGCTCCCTGGACACAGCTCAGCCGTGGGAAGGTGGTTCCTGGGAGGGGGGTCTCCCCAGCCCCCCACCCCAGCCTGGCCTTGTCCCCCAACCCCTTGCTGTGGGGCAGGGCAGCTGGAGCCATCCCAGTGCCTCAGGGGTTGCAGGACCCCCATGAATGGGGTTCCCAGGGGTTACAGCCTGGCTCAGGACTGTCACCCCCAGCAGCACCCAAGCTGAGCTGCAGGGTGGGCCAGCGGCTCCTGGGGGCAGCAGGAACATGTGGGAAACAAGGACTCACCTCAGCCTCCTCCAGAGCTGCCTGGATATCGTTCTTCTCACTCTCCAGCACTTTCTTCACCTTCTCCAGCTCATGGATGGTTTTGCCACCCAGACTGATCTGGTCAGTCAGATCAGCAATTTCCTCTGCCAGGGACAGAAGGAGTTTGGTCAGGAAGGTGGTGGGGCCAGCCCCACACAAGTGAGGTCCCCATCCCCCTGCCCGGGCTCAGTCGACATCCCTCAACCCCTTGGAGAGCAGCTGAGGCTGTGCTTGGGGACATTTCTGCAGTCTGGCAGAGCAGAGAGCATGGAAGAGGCATCAAGGAGCCAGGGAGACCTGTTTGTCCAAGAGTGACACTCACACAACAGCCATGGCGCTCAGCAGAAAATCATGGACCACGTGGGGACAGGAGCCACATGGGGACAGGAGCCATGTGGGGACAGGAGCCATGTGGGGACAGGAGCCACGGGGCTCTGCCTGTCATCCCAGAGTGTCCCCAGCAGGAGGGCAGGACACACCCTGGCATCTCCTCTCAGCTGCTCTCTGCTCCATCTCCAAGGGATGGGCAGAGCAGCAAGGTCCTCTCCTGGCCACAAGGGACCCAACCCCACATGCCCGAGCACAGGGCAGGAGCAGCACTCTGGGCACAGCCCAGGGGGAGCACCTGACYCCTGTCATACCCTGCAGGTTCTTGTTCTCCCTCTTGAGGGTCTCCAGGTTGTCCAGGGACTCCTCAAAGGCATTCTTGAGCTTGAAGAGCTCGGTGCTCAGGCTGCGYGACTCYTTCTGCGACGCCTCCAGCTCCACCTGGGTCTCCTCATATTTCTGCTTGCACTCGGCCAGGATCCTGTCGAAGTTGCGCTGCTTCTTGTCCAGGGCRGCACAGGCCGAGTTGGCGCGTTCCAGATCCACCGAGAGGTCCTCGATCTCGGTCTGCAGCCGGTGCTTGGTYTTCTCCAGCGAGGAGCACTTGGCGTGGGCGGCYTCCACRGCCTCCTCGGCCTCCTGCAGCCGTGTGGCCAGCTTCTTCCTGCCRATGGCACCGGGGTGAGCACCCTGCCCTGGTGGCACTCTGCCCCACAGCCTCATCCAGCTGTGCCAACCGGGTCTGGGAGAGCCCCTGCCCCRGTGCCACTCTGCCCCATGGCCTCAAATCCAGCTGTGCCACCCTGGGTCTGGGAGAGCCCCTGCCCCAGTGCCACCCCATCCCACAGCCCCAAATCCAGCTGTGCCACCCCGGGTGTGGGGGACCCCTATTGCTGAACAGAAAGTTGCCACCTGCAGGGAACCATCTCATGCCGTGGAACTCACTTGGCTTCCTCCAGCTCCTCAGTCCTCTGGATGGCGTCAGTCTCGTACTTGGTTCTCCACTGGGCCACCTCAGCATTGGCTTTGGACAAGTTCCTCTGGAGCTCGCTCTTGGCCTCCACCTCCTCCTCGTACTGCTCCCGCAGCAGGTCACAGTCGTGCCGGGACGCTTGCAGGGCGTGGGCCAGGGCGTTCTTGCTCTGAGGAAGGGAGAGCAGCAGCTGAGCCCGGGCTCCAGGACAGGGACTGTGGCACCAGGACCGAGAGGAGCAGCAGGGAACTGCTCTTCCCAGGTTAAGAGCTGTTCTTCCCAGGTTAAGAGCTGCCACAGCATCACTCAAAGATCAGCCACACCCTGGGAACCTCACCTTGGTCTCTTCCTCCAGCTGCCT